ATAATAAAATAATAATAAAAACTATAAACATCATCTATCTATCTATCTATCTGGAAAACATTTGCCATATAAAAAAATATTTATGTATATTATGTAAAATATGTATATACAGCTTAGTTTAAAAAAAGCTAAGTAGAGGATTAGTAAGTAAGTAATATAGTAACTAAGTAAGTAGACTTGTAGTTAAAAAAAAAATATATATATATACTCCTATCCTATCTATGATACCTGCTTGCCATAAAAAGTCTACTTTCTGGCTACCAATGTTCCAAATTTTTGTTAAATACAGCGTGTTAAATTTGAATTAAATTATATAATTTAGCATTGAAGTCCATAGTAAATGAGTGGTGTGCTGTTGTAGGCTGAACCTGAATTATATCCAGATTTAATTCTAATAATCTGCCCAATCTTGTGTGTGGTAAATGGAAAGGACAAAAAACTGGGAAAAAGCGACCCAATGACCTTGATATCTTCGCATTGCCCAAAGCATTAGTTGCCAGCTGTCACATCAAAGTCTGTAGCCCTGCCTGAATCTATAGCCTTACATAATCATTTCTGCTGCTTTTCATGCACTGAAAAACTCATTTGAAATGGAAGATACAACACGTTGCAGATAGAGCACACACCACACAGAGCACATGATTACTGATTATTAGGTTTATGTTGTGGCTTTGGAAGTGATTGCCCATAGATGACATTAATTGTCTAAGATGAACTTTCCACCATCGCCCCCAATCATCAGAACGACAGCAAGATTAGTAAACATTGTGCCGAGTCAGTCATCAATCATGTAGAAGAAGCCATAGGACTGTTATATTTTAAAAAGAACTGTTGACATTAGTGGATTAGTTGACTATTACAGCTAAAATTCTGCCATGTCGTTCTGATGGATTGGCGGGGCCGATTTGGTGGAAAGTTCATTCTGTTAGACAATTAACTGCTCATCTATGCGCGCCATCACTTCCATAAGCCGACAACGATAAACCTCAATAGATCAGTAATCATGGTGCTCGTGTGTTGGTGTGCTTGCCTCTACTGACCCAACGTGCTGTATCCTCCATTCAAAGGAGTTTTTCAGTGCCATGGGAAAAGCAGCAGACGAATGACTTATGTAAGGCTATAGCATTCAGGCAGCGGGCCTACGACTTTTGAGTGGGGTGACAGCGGGCAACTAATGCTTTGGGCACGATTGGCGAAGATATCAAAGGTCATTGGGTCGCTTTTTCCCAGTTTTTTGTCCTTTCCATTTACCACACACAAGATTGGGCAGATTATTAGAATTAAATCTGGATATAATTCAGGTTCAGCCTACAACAGCACACCACTCATTTACTATGGACTTCAATGCTAAATTATATAATTTAATTCAAATTTAACACGCTGTATTTAACAAAAATTTGGAACATTGGTAGCCAGAAAGTAGACTTTTTATGGCAAGCAGGTATCATAGATAGGATAGGAGTATATATATATATTTTTTTTTTACACTACAAAGTCTACGTTACTTAGCTTACTTATTACTTTATTCACTAATCCTCTACTTAGCTTTTTTTAAACTAGCTGCCTATATCATATTTACATGAATATACTAAATCTTTTTTTATTGAGGCAAATGTTTATCCACGAGGTAGATAGAAGATAGGATGCATGTTTATAGTCTTTTTCATTATTTTATTTATATTATTTTTTAACTACAGGTCTGCTGTATTTACTTCACACAACTGCTTTTTTTAAAAAGAATATTATTCATTTATATTTACATTTTTTTCACAATGGTAAACGTCTGTTTTCAGAGCTTAGATAGCATAGATAGATAGATTAGATAGGATAGATAGATGAGATGATTAGATAGATAGATAGATAGATGATAGATGAGATCACCTTAACAACACAACCCGCCTCCCCTACTACACCGCAACTACCTCATCCTTAACTTTCTGTAAATAACATTAAGTGGCCCCTTTTTTCGACTGTTGTTCTGTTTTCTGCTTTTATTTATTTTATGTCTTTTCTTTCACTTACTTACTCTAGCTTTAGAACTGGCACTATTTGATTTTTGTATACTTGAAGTGTCATTTTTGCTTATTTTATTGCCCTTGTTTGCCACCCATGGGTCCGGAGGAGGACTGAAATTTTATCTGTGCTTTGGTATGTCGCTGCATGTATAGCAGATTTGAACAAATAAGGGCTCAACAGTTCAAAAAGTCAAAGTACAGCTTTCAATGGTCCAATTCTTCACATGCACCAGGACATTCTTCACAACAGACAATACAATATAAAATATACATAAATATAAAATATACTATACTTATTGGGTTAGTGTGCAAAAAGGCATGATGGTAGATGGGCAGCAGAAACAATAAAATTAGAAATTTGTTACAGTAACAGTGCAAGCTGACTTTGACTTTTGAGATAGATGATAGATAGATAGATAGATAGATAAGATAGATAAGATAAGATAGACTAGGATAGATAGAGTAAGATTTAAATAGATAGATAGATAAAAGACAGACACAGTGAAGCTGCCCAGTTTTCACTGGTCGACCACAAGATGGCTGACAGCGAGAGCGATGGGCGTCGGTCAGTGCTTCACTTCCCGGTTCTTCTCCAAACAGCATTTGTTTTATTTTTTTTCGATTTTTTTCCCAGTTTACGGAAAACGCTCACAGCTTAACCGTATGCAACCACAAATTCTGACTCAGATTTCATCCTTAAAAAAAAGTCAAGGACTTCTTTTTGTAATTGACCGCTGATATCGGGGTCGAAGTTGAATGGGATTCGACACGTTCGCTGGGGCTGCTGACATCGTTCGGTTGCCGTTGACGATAGAAAAGCTGGCCGAGTATCTAATATTCGTCGTGTTTTTCAACCGGGCGCAAGTGACGCTTATCGGACACGGACCCGATTTTTCCGGCCCTGCCTTTATCAGCTAGCTCCTCTTTAGCATTAGTTATTTTGGATTTCACGTTAATTTATCGATGATAGTTTGTTTGTTTTGGTTTTTTTTTTGCGGTGGCCTCTAATTAATGTTGACACCACATTGCTCGTTGCGGTTTAGTTGTACAAGGGGGACAACTTTGTATCATTACCGACCCGACTTGCCTTGGTGGTTGGGTTTGTTCAGGGAGGGGGAGGAGCAGGCCATGGTTGTCGCTTCTTAAAGGGTTTTGTGTTGACATGATCGACATTACACACATGTCAGTTTGTAGGCCTGGGATTTACTACCATAACCTCTTCAGCACCCAAACTAGATCATTATGATCCTTAAAAGTATCCTAAACAAATGATGCGTTAATGCTCGAGTTCTTATGTTTGGTTGCCTTCATGCCCAACCAAGAAAGCTGTTTGTTTACTGTGATGCAAAGAGTATATTTAGGGAGTTATTCAGATTCACTTTTTATTTGTATAACAAAAGTTAGTCTCAGGACCACTTTTCAAATTAGAGAAGTGATGGTTTTTATTTGGTTAAACAATGAGCTTTGTATTTAGTCTTTTTAATATCGATAATATTTGTTACACTGGACAGCTTTATGGGATCATTCTCACAGGGACAAACATAAACATAGATGTTAAGGTATATTTCTCACTATTTTTTATTTTTGTTTAAAACTACAAGTCTACTGTCATTTACTTACTTACTGAGACTACTTTCTAGACTTTTCTACTATCTGTATATACATATTGTTATTGCTCATCCGTAACCTAGAAAAAGTGTTTATACTGTTGATGGAAATATATATTTTAAGTGCATGTATTTATTTGGGCTTAAACAACGAGCTTTGTATCAGTTCTTTCTTTAATATTGTTTATGCTATACACTGGATGGTTTATAGATTTTTCTTCTACAGACAGAATAACAATATTTCCAGTTCCAATACCTATATATATTGGTTTTCTAATTTCACCAATTTCTTTACAACCCAAATGCAACCCCAATGATATCCAAGAAA